GCGGGTCCGGGCTGGGGATTTGAACCCGCCACCTTAGGTGTACGTGGCTGGCGCCTTAGCCGGTTGAGCTATAGGCGCCGAGCCGAAAACTTAGCTCTTCATCACATGTACTTTCCAGTTGTCCTACCTTTGCCTACACCATGAAACCCACCCAAGGCCATTCCTGGTTCCATCTACACACCTGCCTTTCTCTGGAAGTATTCCCTGGTTGCTTGAGTTACCCATACCCCTGCCTACTTCCCATCCCACATGCCCAGGGTTTCACCGGTCTGGAAGGTGTTTCCGCTTCTTCTCACAGTTCTCTCGCTGGACATGAAGGTCCTGATTCTGGAGGGCTTTCCGTGATGAGGTTGTCCCATTCTCTTGCCCTGGGGCTGTCCAAGGGAGTATAGGGAGAATCAAAAAAGAGCCTTAGTGTCTTATTGCTCTTTCCTTCCAAGGCCATGCCTCAGCCCAAGGCCATCTATTATCAACCAAAGTGCTCCTTCTCACTATCACACCTTTACCTGGGCCAGTAGAATGGCTCTCCTCCACCTCTCAATCATACGGCTTCCTTTACACAGCCTATCCCAGCCACCCAAGCCCACACCAACAGTGCTCACCTAGTGTGGGTAGGAAGTCCTAGAGAGCTCTGTCTGTACTCATTTGCCAAACTGCCCCATCCTACCTACACACCTTCACTGGGGCTATTCAGGCTCCCTAGAATTCCTTTCTCCTTGGTAACATCCTAATCCTTGCAGTTCTCACTCTTTAGAAAAAGAGAGGTTCATCACCCCATATAGACAGACTTCCAGAGGGCAAGAAGTGGTTTATGTACCTGTTTCTTCTCCCTCAGAGACAGGCTATGGACTGAGGGGCATGACATCAACCCTTCTTCAATCAAACAGAATAAGCTACGTACATGCACTCTCACTGCCTTACCTGACTGGAAGGCATACCTGCCAGGCAGACTGCTGCCCTTCCCCCTGAAGATCTTAAACCTACCCCACATGCCAGGCCCTACCACCCACAGGAATGCTTCTCCAACTCCCCCAGCTATGCAAGAGGCTCACTTACTGAGATCCAAGGAGTTCTTGTCAAACTCCTGTTGGGACACAGCCCGCAGGCAGTACTCACTAACAGTCACCATGCGGTTCCCAACAACCAGACGCACCATGGCCCGGACATTGTCAGGATCAAGGCCTTCTACCTACAATGTTGAGGAGAGAAGTGAGGCAAGGGTCGTGGACTCTATCAGCACTCCCAAGACCAAGCTGTTCACCCCTTACCTCCAATAGACCTGAGCCCTGTGTCTCCCTAATCAGACTGTGACTCCTGAGGGCTGGGACCACATCTGGTTCCTATGCTTCCCTCAGCAGATTATGGGGTTTGTATGGACATCTTTTGAACATTTAATCCTCAGGGACATGTGGCATATGACATTCTTTCCCTTTTAGCTGGAAACTGAGGCCCAGAAAGACTCAACATGTGGTTGTGGTTACCCAGAGAGGCAATGGACTAGGCAGGTCTAAAAGACTAGGACCCCTAGCCTTTCTACCCCAAAACCAATTCTTTTTCCCTCTCACCCTCAAACCAACCTTCCCTTGGCTCGGTGCCTATGGCTCAGGCGGCTAAGGCGCCAGCCACATACACCTAAGGTGGCAGGTTCAAATCCCCAGCCGGACCCGCCAAACAACAATGATGGCTGCAACCAAAAAATGGCC